TTCTAACTTCCCTTTTTGTTTCTCTATTAGGTGATTTCTGCACGTAAAGGGGAATTTGAAACTGGATACGAGAAGGGTGGGCAGACCCGTGAACATGTCCATCTGGCAAAGACCTTGGGCGTGACGAAGCTACTTGTAGTAGTTAATAAGATGGATGATCATACTGTCAACTGGTCTAAAGAAAGGTATTTTGACTGGATTTTGTGACAAGTCTGAGCTTTGTGCTGTTTTTAGTGTGAATTTGTATTATGGGATTGTTTGTTAATATTACTGATGGAGGTCTTCAACAGGTATGATGAAATTGAGTCAAAGATGACACCTTTTCTGAAATCGTCTGGCTACAATGTGAAGAAAGGTATTGGAACTGTTGTTAAAAAAACTTGCAAGTTGCATTTTTTACTTTTTGATATTTTCAAGGTTATAGAACCATTCCTATATGTTATTGCCCATAGTGAGATATTGAAGGTAATAGAGAAGCTAAATAAATCCTTTGTATTTTTGTAATTTGCCTGTGGTATCTTATGCAACTGGGCTTGTTTTCTACTTTCTTCCAAGATAAATTTTACCTATTTTAGAATAACACGCATGTTTAATTATTCAGATATTCTTCTAAACAATTTCTTTTGGAGTTTAAATCGTGGATTGATACCAAATCACTGTCAGATTGTCTCGGAACCTTAGGTGCTGTTTGACAAACTACAAAATATTTAATGTTGTGTACTGTATATATTCAGATTCTCAATCTGGTATGGTAGTTTAGAACTCTGTTTTCTCATCCGGCGATAATTATATTATGTAGTTTTAATTTGAATGTTTTTCTATTCAACAGATGTTTCTAATAAATTATTTTAGAGCTGAAACTGTGGAATAGAAGTAAATAATTGCTGTTAGTTTGTTTAGGTTACTAATTTGTTGCTGAAAACTTGTGTTACGTTTGATTACTTTTTCTTTGGATTATGCTCTATTCTGCCTAGCTGTAATGTAAACTTGGGTCTAGTTAGGCTTCCTCTCCTGTAGCTCTTGATGTTGAAGTGTCAATGTATCTTTCTTTCCTCATTGTGTAACTTTTAATCGGATCAGATTATGATAGCATGTTTTTTATGGTATTGAAACTTGTGTTCCTATGTTAGAGACTTGTTTGGTTTGCTAAGCAGATAATTTATATTTTAAAACCAGTTATAATTTATTGCTTGCTCTTGTTTGATCTTGCAGATGTCCTGTTCCTACCAATATCTGCTCTTATGGGGACTAACATGAAAACAAGAGTAGATAAGAGTACATGCCCTTGGTGGAATGGTCCTTGCCTATTTGAAGCCCTCGATTCTATTGAAGTTCCTCTCAGAGATCCAAAAGGTCCATTTAGGTAAGTGATTTATAAACCATCTTCCACATCGGAATTCACTGCACACACAACTTTTATGTTTGGTTCTAGTTCCTGGTGTCCTGCCATCTAACAGTAGCATACATGACCAATTTTTTTTGTTATCTTATTTTATGATGTATCTGATGATTTGCTATTGACTAGGATGCCTATAATTGACAAATTTAAAGACATGGGAACTGTTCTAATGGGAAAGGTAGAATCTGGGAGTATTTGTGAGGGTGATTCCTTATTAGTTATGCCGAACAAGGTGCTTGATCTCTTCAGCCTTTTATTATATTTATGTATATTGTGTTTTTAATTTATGGGCTATGAGGCTTTTATGCATGGATTGCAGGCTCAAGTGAAGGTTATAGCTGTATATTGTGATGAAAATAAGGTTAGGCGTGCAGGACCTGGGGAAAATCTACGAGTTAGATTATCAGGTATTGAAGAAGAGGACATATCGGCAGGTTTTGTCTTGACAAGTGTTGGTAAGTTTTGCTTAAATGGACTTATGTGATAAATTTTACTAGCCCTTTCTCTTGTCTTAATTGATTGTTTTTAATATTGAAATTGCATTGTTTTATTTTGCCTTGGTTTTAGGTGTAATATGTGTTTTTCCTTCATGCAGTAAAATCGATACCAGCTGTCACTGAATTTACAGCCCAGCTTCAAATCCTTGAATTACTTGAGAATGTATGCATGGATGTCACTTTCTGTTGTCCTTATTTTATAAACTTGATGCTTTCTGAGCATGATGACTGAATGTAACATGCCTTGTAAATGTTGTTGCCGTTTAGGCTATTTTTACAGCTGGCTATAAGGCTGTATTGCACATTCATTCTATTGTTGAGGAATGCGAGATAGATCAGCTACTACAGCAAATTGATCCGAAGACAAGGAAACCCATGAAAAAGAAAGTCCTTTTTGTGAAGAATGGTGCTGTTGTTGTTTGTCGTATTCAGGTTCATACTCTTTATTTTAAATATACCAAATAGATATTTTATTTTTGCTCCCATTCAATTTGTTTAGCTTAAACATTACTTTTCTTTTTTTGGCGGCATTGCTCTATACTTATTTGAAATGAAACTGAATGAATTGTCAGATTGAACTAGTGAGAAACAGTCAGAAAGCACTTGTTTCCAAGTTGTTTTCGTTTCTTTTTTTTCTGTAAGGGTAGAACAAATAGTAGGATAGCATTAGTGAGTAATGATAGACCACCACAATCCGCTCTCATTTCTGGGTTCCAGCTATGGCGAAATGCTCTGATTAATCAGAAACAGATTGCTAGTGTCAATTTTTTTTTGATAGGAATAGAAGGCCTCAATAAAACCCCCTTCGTGATTAACGGAACTTAAAAATAGTTCCTTAATCCGCACAAGGAGGAAAAGAGTGCCCTAGGATTTCATTAAACTCAAATATAACAAAGTAATACAAACTAATCTCCCTCAAGAGATACAAAACCAGAAAGAAACAGCCCTTAACAGAATATAATTCAACCAATACCAGCCTTAGCTAGTGTCAATATTTCCAACTAAATTGAACTTGCAACGTAATATCAGGGTTCTGTACTCTCGTCAATGTATGTGTGATGCATGTTCTTTATTTAATGTTCTGTTTTCCATAGAGGGGGGGATAACTGATTGCATAAAAAGAAGTTTAAGAGCAGAAGAGCTGAATGGATCTCGGTTAGTTTTGGGCTTGATAAATACTATTTTCTCGTGTTTAGGTTAACAACATGATTTGCATTGAGAAGTTCTCAGATTTTCCACAACTTGGGAGGTTCACTCTTCGCACTGAAGGTAAAGAAAGACCTTTTTGTTTCTTCCTTCCAATAGTGGATAAATTATCCGTCTTAGTGGCTGTGAGTCACATGAATTGTGTGTCCTGTCTTCAGGAACAACCGTTGCAGTAGGAAAAGTCACTGATCTTCCTTCAAGCAGTAGTGCTTAAAAGATTTTGTTGGTAGAGGTGAGAACTCAGACATTGTTTGCTTCTACTGCCTGAATTTTTATTGTGCCGCTATATTCTCCTGTAGTACTAATCAATTTAAGACGTAAAAAACACTGATAAACTATAAAAAGGAAAATTAAATTTTGATCGTCAATACCAATTCTGAAGTTTAGTCTTGTGAGGGTGAGATCCCTTTCTCACCAAAGTATCACACCATTGTTGCATCATGTACTTTATCGCTGTCGGAGATTCATCCTGTTCAGATTGGTCAAAATATATTCCTCTGAACTCACATGCTTCTTGGTAGCGCACCTTTTAATATGAGTTCATGTCGAAAAATTATGTAGTTTAGGCTAGTATTCCATGCCTATTTGATTAATGCAGACAAATAGAGTTTGGCTAAAGTTTTTTAGTTTGCTCCATGGTTTTTTTGGTTGGGAAAACATATAAATTTATGTTTTTCTACTTACAAAGGTGACTTGAAAAAAGACTAGCATCAGAGTTTTCAATCCTAAATTCTTCAACTATTTTTACTAATTTTAAGATGCATTTATTATTATTAATGTTGGTCCTTTATTTAAGTTGCATTTCCTCATAAACTTAAAATAAGTTCTAGCCCCCCATGCCATAAAATTTGCACAAAGAACTGAGAAATACCAAATAGAAGGCCTACGATGTCTTGGTCTGAATCTAAATTATGATTTAGTCAATAATAATGATTTTAAAATTTTGCAAATTAATAAAATAGAATCTTCTCCCTCGTGATTGTTTTGGAATGTGGGGGTAGAAATAATGTTTGCTAAAATAGAATCTTAAACAACATAAAGTACGTAAAACAAAGCAAACAAGGGTAGAAATAATGCTTGCAAGAAAATTGAATTAGTGCTGGGAATTGTATCACAATTAATGGAAGAGGCTTCAACAAAGAATGAAACCATAGACGATATTTTCGGGATTGGCTGCGTCAACAAGCTGTGTTTGATAAGCCACAGACGAGAAATAATAGTTTTGTCTCAAATAGGGCAGTAATGAGACGAGATCGATCGCAAGTTACTTGAGATCGACTTGATCAAAGCTCAATAAATACTCGAATCGAATGGACTCGAGCTCGATTCGAGTTCTTAACGAGTCGAAATGAACTATTCGATATTCGACTCGAAAAGTTCGTGAGCAGCTTGAAAATATAATACATTTAGATTTTATTTTTTTAAATAAATTATTAACAATATTAATATTTATGTATTGATTTTTTTTTAAAAATACAATAAGATTTTATGTATTTAAGGTTGAGTTTGAGTTTAAGACTTCAATCGAATTAAGTTTGAAGAAAAAAATCATTTCGAGTCTTTTCGAGTTACTCACGAGTTTCAGTTCAGGATTTCGAGTTCGAGTCGAATTTGAAAATTTTAAGCTCTCGAGTTTTCGAGTCGAGTTTAGCAATACTCGAGCTCCACTCGACTCATTTACACCCCTAGTCTCAAATGTCACTAAAATTCAATTCTACTTTCATTCTGGATTCACAAATTTGGGTGCAAAAGGACTTATATAAGGCACTTCGTTGACGCCGTCAATGTGTTGTCTAAAATGTTAGGCAGGCTTAACCATGGTATCTTTCGACACCATATACAGATTATTTGTTAAATTTCTCCAAGGGCTATCTAGACTCAATTTTAGGGTTGCAATGTACCTTTCAACAGTTAAATTTTTTATTCCCGAAATCCTTTTCGGTTATTCACAGGCAAAACCAAAGTAACATAGATTCGAACTGGAAAAAGCTTTTGCAATTTCATGGTTGGGCAAAAGAAGAGACTAGTTGGGCTTTTTTTAGCTTTGTTTTATAGCACGGTTTTGCTTCTCCTCAATACCCGACTGAGAAAACCTTTGGCCAAGAAATTGAACATTTTCTATCTTTACATCTTTACGCCTTAACAAAACCATGGCATGGTACATCACATCTGCCATTTCCGAAGCTGTTCGTGAACTCTTCCCTTTCTCCTCCAACGTCCGGCATAACTCATCTGCTTCTTCCCTGCAACAATCAATATTTACATAAGACTAACATGTGGACACTAAAGATAATGAGCACACATCATTCTGATCATCGCTGATTAAACAATGATGTACGATGATTTTTTCCGACCCAACATATCATCCCAGGTATTTACTACTACCATTGCCAAGATAAACTCGACTATTAACGGATTTTTTAGCACAACAATTTTTCATCAGGCAACAGTTGTTTGGTCCAAGAGGGCATTTTGTGTTGATCTGCTATCTCTGATTCTTGTTGGGAAATAGTCGACTCCAGTGAGTATAAAGTTGTCAGCGCCAAGTTATTTTCTTTGACCTGCCAAAACAGACCAGGTTAATTTACTGAACTTAAAAAATTGTACAATTTAGTATTGTAGATTCAAAAGATTGTGCTAATAAACTAAAAGAGTTGCTTTACTTCTTCCCCCTTCAACAAATCACATACCGATGTGAAATTGCATGTCTCCGACCGTGTGTGGCAGGTAGGGTTGCACATAATTCGGATTTCAATCCGATCCGGATCGGTTTTTATCCGATCCGGATCGGTTTTTATCCGATCCGGTTTTTTCCCATAGAAAAAAAACCGGTTTATAAAATAACCGGTTCGGTTTCTAACCGGTTTGGAGGGCCGGATATCCTAACCGGTGTAACCGGTTTCGGTTTTAAAAAAACCGGTTTTTTTAAAAAACCGGTTATAAAAAAACCGATTTTAATATTCCAGATTGCTCATAGGGAACCGATTCCCCCCAAGGGGGTACCGATTCCTCACTGAATGGTTTGGCTCCGAGATTTCCAGAATGCTCGGAGGGAACCGATTCCCCCATAGGGGTACCGATTCCCCCCTATTCAACGGTCGAAATATTTGAATTTTACACTTAGGGAACCGATTCCCTATGAGAGGGTACCGATTCCCCCACGCTCTAAGCATTTTTATTAAATGTTCACACTTAAACGGCTATATTATCTTCATTAATTATCACTAACGTTCAGAAGTGATTCAAGGTGTATTTAAGCAAGCTTAGAAGTCATTGATCAAAGACAAGAAACATCAAGCAACTAGAATCAAGAGAGAATCAAAGAGAAAGCATCAAACCTCAAGTTCAATAAATTCAAATACTTAATTGAAATACTTAATTAACTCAACATAATTGAAATACTTAAATACTTCCAAGTTTGATAAATTCAAATACTTAAACTTCCAAGTTCGATAAATTCAAATACTTAAAAACTTCAAGTTCGATAATTGAAACAAAGTTTACGATAATTGAAATAAAGTTATAAAATAAACTACATTGCCATCTCTTCTTCATCATCTTCGCCTTCTTCGTTTGGAGGGATATTCCAAGTTCGACTTCTTCAATGTGTAAGTTTGCTTCCAAATCGGCATCAATTGCATCTTCTAGGGTGGTGATATGTTGCTTACGAGCCGCTCCATCCAAATAATCCTTTAAACAAATGCATACTTCCACCGACTCGGGACTTAGTCTTGATCTCCGTTGCGATATAACCCTGCCACTAACAGAAAAAGCGGATTCCGAAGCTACCGTAGAAGCTTGGACGGTTAGTAAATCACGGGCCATGGCGGCTAGAATCGGAAATTGTGATTCCTTTTCTTTCCACCAAGCCAAAATATCCAAACTTTCAAACTCTTCAAATGTCATTTTTGATAGAAAATCGCATGACATATAATTTCTCAACTCGCTACTTGGGGTGGTAGTACGTGATCGTTTGGATTGGGAATTTACAAGAGTGTTAAAAAGATTCAAATTTATGTTACTTGGACGTCTACTAGATGATTCCGCATTCATTCTCATTTGATCGTGTATTACACTACTTGATCCGTATTTATTTAAATAAATTGCAAACATGTCTCGAAAACATTTGTTAAAATAATTTATTTGGTTTTGGACAAAGTTGGGTTCATCATCGGTTAGATTAAAAGCAAACGCAATTTGTTCAATTAGTGTTTCAACCCCACCAACATTTAACGTTGGGTTTAAAGCGGCGGCACAAGTAAAAATAGGGGGAATCTCCTTAAAATATTTTAAAAGTTTTTCCTTCATTGCAAAGCCAATTTCTTGAAAAACTTCGGTTTCAAATTCAAAGTCATTTAGTCGGGTAGCCAACAAAATATTTGATTAAGAACCAACGGGCTAGTAGGGTAATAAACACCGGATAAAAAAGTTGTTGCATTTTTTAAAAACCTCAAGCAAATCGGTTATTTTGGCTATAGTTTCCCAACTCGAATCCGGATAAATGTCTGGGACATGACCCCTCTCGAAAAGCCGATCGTGAAATGTTTGCAATGTTTCCCTTTGCCTTAAGGCAGTATGCATCATCATCCAAGTTGAGTTCCAACGAGTTGGACAATCCAAATTAGGACCCAAAGCTTTTTATTAACAGACTTACAAAATCGTTTATAATCATTTAGTCTTTTGTTGTTGTTACAAAGAATCGATTTTATCATTGTTTTAAATTCTAATCTAATTGGCTCAATAACCTCCAAACCGGCTTGCACGGATAAATTAATTATGTGTGCAACGCAACGGGTATGAAAAAACGCACCGTCTAAAATCGGTGAAAGTAATATTTTCAATCTTGGAATCGCGTTTGTATTATTCGATGCATTATCAAAAGATATAGAAAAAACTTTATTTTCTAATTTATAAAGACAAATTACCCGTTTTAAAAGTGTAAATAAATTAGCACCGGTATGCGGCTCACCGAATAATTCAAACGCGATTGTTCTTTTCATCATTTGCCAATTATCTTGATCTAACCAATGTGACGTAACGGCTAAAAAAGAATTTCCGGTATTATGAGGGGAACTCCAAACGTCACATGTAAGCGACACACCATAACGGTGTTCTTGGAATCCTAAAATCATTTTTCCCTCGCCGTACGCCACATTTTTATAGCATCTCTTCTAAGGGTAGTACGACTTACTTGAGTATAACGTGGTTGCATTAGTTGTTGAATTGTTGTCGTGAAATCTTCATCATCAAAGTGGTCGAACGGCAATGCTTTTGTAATCACGAACTTTGTAAACGCTTCTCGTGATTTTTCGTTGTCGTAAACAAAAACACCACCTTGCGGTGTAAGATTCGATTGACTAGGATCCGATCTTGAGCGAAGTGCCTTGCATGATTTTGTCAAATGGTTCTTCAACGTTGTGTTTCCTTCCGATGCAAGAAACTTTAGACAAAGTTTACAACGCGCCCTCCTCGAGCCATTTGACATCTCACATAAATCGTAGTGATCCCAAATATCTTTGTTTCGAGTGTGTTCGATCACTCTCACGACTTCAAGGCTTCCCCCGACGGAAGATTCAGCAGTGTTACTCATGATGAATAAAAAATTACAAAACTAAGATTTGAGAGATGTTTAAGTGTTGTGTAATAAGATTTGAGAAAGTTGTAATCAACCAAATACATCCCCAACCTATTTATACATGTTTAGGATGGTAAAATGGTAATTTTTTAAAGAAAAAAACGGTCAAAAACGGTCACAAACGGCTATATTAACGGCTAGTTTTTTAAACCCAGACCGGTTTTTTTTTCGGATAAAAACCGGTTTTTTAACCGGTTTTTTTCAAACCGGTTTTTTATCCGGTAAAAAAACCGGTCTAGGTTTTTTTCTCCAAACCGGTTAAAATAACCGGTTTAAAAAAATCCGATCCGGTTAAAAAAAAACCGGTTTTTCCCAAAACCGGTTTCGGATATTTTTTTCGGATATTCGGATATTCGGATTTTTTGTGCACTCCTAGTGGCAGGTAGGACCATCAGGCTTCCCAAGGTAAATTACCTGCAGACAATATTTCATTCAAGTCAAAATAAATTAAGCAATCAATCAGAAAGCTAGAACATACAGAATCACGATCACAATCAACAAAGATGTCATGAATGTTGATGAAATTATCATAAGTTTCTCCCGTTGTCCATAATGTTGCTCGTGATCGACTGAAGAATGTCACCTTCCTAGAAGATATGGTTGTAGCTAGTGCATCCCTGTTGATGAAGCCTTGCATTAATATGGCCCCCGTGTCCTCTTTTGAGCTATAGCCACTGCTAAACCTTTGTCATCCCATTTTATACCGTCCAATAATGTATCAACCTGAAATTAATTTTTTTTAGTCAATTAGGCCCTTTTACTTAGATGTGCGGTCTATCAAAGTAACAGAAATCTAAAGAGAAATTAAAGAATTCTTTTTATTGCATTACCTAGCTATAACAATGCTTCTACATTCTGAAAAGTACCTACTATATTTCCATGTCATAAAACTTGGGGGCTTTGGGAACAAATTAACGGAAATCAAGAAAAGATAGGGAAAGAGAACAAGGTGTTCAAATACTCTTTGCCAGTCATCACACAATAGTTTTGTCACATAACATCCAACTTGCAGAGACTATCATTGGTGCAGATGCCAATCAAACAAACATGTGAAAGGAACTAATATACCTAGCCGTTTTTTTGTCCTCTAATAACCATAGATCCTTACACAGGCTTTCACTGATATCAAACATTATTGTGTTAAAAATTCTAATCTAAAACTTCAACCCATGTCCTAAACTCCAGATTTTATGAACTTCAGAATTCATAATATGAATACTTTGGAGAACTTCAGTGGACAAGCTCTGGTAGCTCGTGTAAGTGACAAGCTCTGGTAGCTCGTGTAAGTGACAAGCACTGATCACTAGGTATCAACTGTCCCTACTATATTAGGGGGCGCAAGTGGGGTCTGAGGTGGAACTGTGTGATGCTATCGATGATAATGAGCATGGGCATAAGCTGCCGATTTGTGCTAACCCGACAGTTTGTAATGGGCATCTACGCTCGGTTCAGTTGGCCAGAGGAGTGGAGATCTTAACATTTTGGAGGGAGCTAGTGGGATACACGTGGGCTCAGGTTTGGATGTGTGTGATGCTAGAGTTGATGATGCGCATACGCAAGATGTGCAACACATGTTTCTTGATGTTAGTGGTAGGCGTTTGACTTCAATAAAAAATGTTGGTTTATGGTAGACCAAGTTAATATTTTTTTTATAGGAATTGAGGCCTCGTTAAAAAACCCCTTCATGATTAAGGAACTCATATTGAATTCCTTAATCAAAGGAAGGAGGAAAAGAGTGCCTTAAACTTTATTAATAAAGATACATAAGATTTACAATAACAAGATAAAACCCTTACAAACAACCTAAAAACCCAAAAATAAAATACCCCAACAACAAAGTAAAATTAACCAATACCAGACTTAGCCAACCCATCAGCCTCAATATTGGTTGTCCTAGCCACCCATCTAAAAACTCCCTCGACTTCTTTGAGTTTAACAGCTACCTCCCTAACAATGGAGGAATAGAAAACAGGTACAATCCACTACCATTTTACAATCTGATTCTATAATCAACCGACCCTTAATACCTCCTCTCATTGAGTGAAAGAAATTTAAACCCTCCTTAACAGCATTTAACTCCATTAGAATAGGTGGACCCGGACCAGAAGCCGTTTTAAAAGAACCTAAAAGTAGACCTTCTTCATCTCTTAGAATACACGCAATTCTACTGCTCTTCCAGTCATAACTAGTAGTTGCATCCACATTCAGTTTGACAAAGCCCTTAGGAGGGGAGGACCAAGGGATGGTAGAGACAATTGATTTGTTTGGAGGGAAACATGAATCCCCAAGGGAAGGGTCATTGATAAGGGAACCCAAAGAAATGACTGAATCTGCAAACTTAGCTAGGAACCAAGATGCAAGCCTTACTCTAGCTAAAAAAAATAAATTAGTTTGATCTAACTTCCCTCTTTCGAAGACGATGTCATTTCTAACTTTCCAAACAGTCCACATAACAACCGAAATAAAGTTCCAAATAGTAGAACTGGAATTTAGATCTTCCCAAGCTAGAAGAAAGTTTTGTGCATTTCCATGAAAGACTGAACTGATACTCCAATACTGCAAAAATTTATTCCACAAAGACCACACGACAGAATAAGAGAAAAATAAATGAGAAGAGGATTCATCCACCAAATTACATAAAGGACAGGAAAGATCTACAATATCCGAAACCCCTCTTTTAGCCAGTTCAGTCCTCACTGGCAGTTTTTGAAGGACCACCTGCCACATAAAAGTCTCAATCCTTGGTGGCACCAAATCCTTTCCACAAAATTTTCTTCCAAAAAGAGTTCGTCTGAGAAACCGAGGAACAAATCTTCACACATGAATTAACAGAATAAACACCATCCCCTCTCCCTTTCCAAATCAGAGCATCGTTGGCATCTTTAGACAAGCAAAAATTAGAAATAATTTTCATCAGATTAGTCCACTGTTCAAATTCCCAATCCGCCAAATTCCTCCTCAATCGAATATTCCAATTCCAACCTAAAGAACTAAACTCGCCAAAATCAATCAATTTACCACTCTAATTTGAAGAGATAGCAAACAGCCTTGGGAAAGAGACCTTAAGAGGGCAGTCCATTGCCCATTTGTCCTGCCAAAAACGAATAAACTGACCACAATCAACTTGAATTCTGCACATACTTCGAAATTTTGAGCCAAATGAGTCTTCTTTAAAATGAGAATTAACCACTGAACTCCAAATCCAAGAGGATTGAGCTGGTATCTTGTTATTGAACAGTAAAGAGTAGGGATCCAGATTGTATTTTGAACATATCAACCTCCTCCAAACAACATTCCTTTCATTAGCAAACCTCCAAGACCATTTCCCAAGTAAAGCTCTATTCATATTAATAATATTCAACACTCCCAATTCTCCCTCCTCCTTAGATTTGCACACATTGGGCCAACTGACCCAATGAATCTTGTTTTTATCCGTTCCACCTCCCCATAGGAATTTAGACATTATGGAATTGAGTTTGGATTTAACCGAGGAAGGAATTTTAAAAAGAGATAAATAGTAGGTTGGTAGTGAACAAAGAATCGATTTAATCAAGACTAACCTCCCTGCCAATGAAAGAGTGTTAGATTTCCAACCTGCAAGCTTCTTGTTAAATTGTAAAACCACCGGATCCCAAAGATAGGAAGAATTCCCAGATGCACCAAGAGGCAAGCCTAGATATTCAGAGGGAAAATTCCCAACTGCACAACCAATAGACGAGGCCACTCCTCAACCTCCTTAACACCAAATAATCTGCTTTTCTTCAAATTCAATTGAAGGCCAGAAATGAGTTCAAACACTCTTAGGACCCTCTTAACATTTAAAATCTGATTCTTCGAAGCTCCACAGAAAATAATTAAGTCATCTGCAAATTGCAGTGCGGATTCGATTAGTGGGGCAGCTGTGCAGGATTATGTCTGTCAAAGTGGTGGGTAGGACGCACGTTGGGTCTAAGGATGTAATCAAAGGTAACATGTAGTTGCCAGATGTGCCGACCACGCCTACTGATGGAATTAAGGTAATGGTGGTACACGAGGAAGTGCTTGCTGGTCAGGGGATGGGGCTATCGAAATTCGAGAAAGTGGTGGTACACGAGGAAGTGTTGTTCACGATAAGAGAATGACAGAAGAAGACAACAGGAAAAGTTGTGAGCCTGCACGTGCTTTTGAGGGAAAGAAGGATTATTCTTTTCATTTCCCCAAGTTGGATGGACGTGCAGATTCTAAGGTGGTGGTGGAAGAGTTTAATATGGGCCTTACAAATAAGTGTGCATTCAAAAGATCTAAGGGTTATTTAATTGATTTCCCCATTTTAGATGGGCGTCAGAAACAAAGAGCTTTGGAGGAGAGAAATGCTATATTTAGTTCTCTATGAAATTTTCAAGAAAAATTTTCGGCTCACCAAAGGAAGCCTCGTTAAAGTCGAAGCAAGAGTTCTCAGAGGAAGGTGCATCGAGAGGTTTTTTCTGATCTTGAAGGCCCTAAAGTGGGTTTGATATCGGAAGATTATGTCAGTGGAAGTTTTGGTACTTTAAGGCAATTCTTTACTATTTATTTTTATGGAGTTGGAGGTCCGGATGGTCTCTGTCGACAAGTCGAGCAAGAAGAGGCAGTAAGGCGGAAGCTGATTCTTGTACTCTTATCGTGTGGAATTTCAGGGCTTTTGTTTTTTATTTTGGCTTTTATGGATTGAGTCAGCTGTGATATTCGAATTCTATTTTAGTTGTTTTGTTTTTCTGTTGGTTTTCGGGCTAAGTTCAGGTGTTAAGTCTGGTCAGTCATTTTTGTGACTGTTGTTGTAGCTTAGATGGATTTCGTTGTGTTAGTGTTGTTGTGTAGGGTTTTTTTTCGGTTGTTTTTGGTTGTTTGTTTATGTTGGGAGTGGCGATATGGTTGTATCTTATGTATCTTATGGTTAATAAAATCTTAAGGCACTCTTTTCCTCATTCCGCTGATTAAGGAGCTTTTCTACAAACTCCTTTAATCAAGAAGGAGGTTTTTAACGAGGCCTTCAATTCCTATAAAAAAAACTGTCCCTACTACCATTCAAAGGTAGAAAATGACTACTACTGGTTGGACTCAAGATTCAAACAAGTTAAATACTGAAGCAATATTTCAAAAACAAACACCTAAAAGTTGTATGGATAATGAAAATAACGTTAAAACATAGAAGTAATTTCCAGATGCATATGATAAGTGTTATTATCATTTGCTTTACCATTCAAAACATGAAAGAATAAGAATTGCCTCATAGTAAAATGTATACAATTTTTAACTGAAATAACAATTAAAAATGTTTCAGAAGTGTTGGGTTCAGATGTAGCTCAAGTAATAACTAAAAAAATAGTACTGGGCAACGGTGGACTCCTTCAAGGGATGGTTAATAGATAGATTGGAAACCCAAACCATCAATTCCTTCCCTGTCTTTTATTTTCCAGATATGTAACAGTCCCTACCATCATAAGCAAAGGTAAACACCTGACTACATCTGGTTAAACTCATGGAAGCAGAAAGGTAAATATTAAATAATATCTCACAGATATACATAAAAAAAAGCATCTATATTAAAAATTATAGAAGCATGGAAAGTATTGTCAAACGTACACAATAGTGATATTATTATTAGCTTCACTATGCATATCCCTTTAAGAAAGAACAGATTCACAACAAACATTCCACTGTATCCAAAATAAGTATGGCTTCTTAATACTTGAATGAATAGAATGACCACTCTTATAAAAAAAAATAGAATGGCCACTAATATAAAGAGATGTTGACAGATGTAGCTCAAGTAATAACTAAACACATGGTACTGAGCAACGATGGACTCCTTCAAGTGATGGATATTCCTTCCCTATCTTTTATTTTCCAGATATGTAACGGTCTGTACCATCAGATCAAAGGTTGACACCTGGACCACATCTGGTTAGATTCATGGGAAACGATCTAAATCATATATTATATTTCACAGATAAACACCAAAAAACTGCATCTACATTCAAATGATATAGAAGCAATGTATTTCCAAATGCAGTTATTAAGTGTTATTACCATTTACTTCACCATGTCTAGCCCTTTAACAAAAAATGAAGATTAACATGTGTCCCACTATAAATAAAATAAGAATGGCATTCACACTTGAGTCGATAGAGGTACTGGGCAATGTAGTGTCCAGATGTAGCTCAAGTAATAACTAAACGCATAGTACTGGGCAACGATGGACTCCATCAAGGGATGGCTAATAGATAGATTGGAAACTCAAGCCATCAATTGCTTCCCTATCTTTTATTTTCTAGATATGTAACAATCCCTACCATTATAGCAAAGGTAGACACCTGACTACATCTGATTAAACTCATGGAAGCAGAAAGGTAAATATTAAATAATATTTCACAGATACACACCAAAAATGAATCAATATTCAAAAGATATTGAAGCATGGAAAGTATTGCAAAATGCACATGTTGTGTTATTATTATTTGCTTCACTATGCCTATCACTTTAAGAAAGAGCAGATTCACAACACACATTCCACTGTATCCAAAATAAGAATGGCTTCTTCATACTTGAATAAATAGAATGACCACTAAATAAAGGGGTGTTGAGAGTTGTAGCATCCAGATGTAGCTCAAGTAATAACTTAACTAACTTAACACATAGTACTGAGCAAAGATGGACTCCTTCAAGGGATGGATATTCCTTCCCTATCTTTTATTTTCCAGATATGTAACGGTCTCTACCATCAGATCAAAGGTTGACACCTGGACCACATCTGGTTAGATTCATGGGAAACGATCTAAATCATATATAATATTTCACAGATAAACACCAAAAAATGCATCTACATTCAAATGATATAGAAGCAATGTATTTCCAAATGCAGTTATTAAGTGTTATTACCATTTACTTCACCATGTATAGCCCTTTAACAAAAAATGAAATTTAACATGTGTCCTACTATAAACAAAATAAGAATGGCATTCACACTTGAATGTATAGAGGTACTGGGCAATGTAGTTTCCAGATGTAGCTCAAGTAATAATTAAACGCGTAGTACTGGGCAACGATGGACTCCATCAAGGGATGGCTAATAGATAGATTGGAAACCCAAGCCATCAATTCCTTCCCTATCTTTTATTTTCCAGATATGTAACAGTCCCTACCATTATAGGAAAGGTAGACACCTGACTACATCTGGTTAAACTCATGGAAGCAGAAAGGTAAATATTAAATAATATTTCACAGATATACGCCAAAAATGAATCAATATTCAAAAGATATTGAACCATGGAAAGTATTGCCAAATGCATATGTTGTGTTATTATTATTGGCTTCACTATGCCTATCACTTTAAGAAAGAACAGATTCACAACACACATTCCACTGTATCCAAAATAAGAATGGCTTCTTCATACTTGAATGAATAGAATGACCACTAATATAAAGGGGTGTTGAGAGTTGTAGCATCCAGATGTAGCTCAAGTAATAACTTAACACATAGTACTGAGCAACGATGGACTCCTTCAAGGGATGGATATTCCTTCCCTATCTTTTATTTTCCAGATATGTAACGGTCTCTACCATCATAACAAAGGTAGACACCCGGACCACATCTGGTTAGATTCATGGGAAACAGTCTAAATATTTTATAATATTTCACAGATAAACACCAAAAATGCGTCTACAATCAAATGATATAGAGACAATGTATTTACAAATTCAGATATTGTGTTATTACCATTTACTTCTCCATGTCTAGACCTTTAAAAAAAAGATTAACTCATGTCCCACTATATACAAAATAAGAATGGTTTTCACACTTGAATGTATAGAACGATCACTAATATAAAGAGGTACTAGAGCAATGTAGTCCAAATGTAGCTCAAGTAATAATTAAACGCATAGTGCAAAGAGGTGTTGAGAGTTATAGCATCCAGATGTAGCTCAAGTAATAACTTAACACATAGTACTGAGCAACGATGGACTCCTGCAAGGGATGGATATTCCTTCCCTATCTTTTATTTTCCAGATATGTAAAGGTCTCTAACATCATAACAAAGGTAGACACCTGGACCACATCTGGTTAGATTCATGGGAAACAATCTAAACATTATATAATATTTCACAGATAAACACCAAATATGCATCTACATTCAAATGATATAGAGACAGTGTATTTACAACCTCAGATATCAACCATCTACTTCACAATGTCTAGACCTTTAAAAAAGAATATCAACTCATGTCCCACTATATACAAAATAAGAATGGCTTTCACACTTGAAATTATAGAACAATCACTGATATAAAGAGGTACTAGAGCAATGTAGAGTCCAGATGTAGCTCAAGTAATTATTAAACGCATAGTAATGGGCAACGATGGACTCCATCAAGGGATGGCAAATAGATATATTGGAAACCCAATCCAACAATTCCTTCCCTATCTTTTATTTTCCAGATATGTAACAGTCCCTACCATCATAGCAAAGGTAGATACCTAACTACATCTGGTTAGAATCATGGAAGCAGACAGCTAAATATTAAATAATATTTCACATATATACACTAAAAAATGCATCTATAATCAAAAGATATAGAAGCATGGAAAGTATTGCCAAATGTATATGTTACGTGTTATTATTATTTGCTTCATTGTATCTATCCCTTTAAGAAAGAACAAATTCACAACACACATTCCACTGTATCCAAAATAAGAATGGCTTCTTCATACTTGAATGAACAGAATGACCACTAATATAAAGAGGTTCTGAGAGATGTAGCATCCAGATGTAGCTCAAGTAATAACTAAACACATATTACTGAGCAACGATGGACTCCTTCAAGGGATGGACATTCCTTCCCTCTTTTTATTTTCCAGATATGTAACGGTCTCTACCATCGTAGAAAAGTAAGACACTTGGACCACATCTGGTTAGACTCATAGGAAACAATCTAAATGTTATATAATACTTCACAGATAAAGACAAAAAAAAAGCATCTACACTCAAATGATATAGAAACAATGTATTTCCAAATGCAGTTATTAAGTGTTACTACCTTTTACTTCACCATGTCTAGTCCTCAAAAAATATCAACAAGCGTCCCACTATATACAATAAGAATGGAATTCACACATAAATGTTAGAATGACCACTAATATAAAGAGCAATGTAGTGTCCAGATGTAGCTTAAGTAATAACTAAAAAAATAGTACTGGGCAACGATGGACTCCATCAAGGGATGGATAATAGATAGATTGAAACCCAAACCATCAATTCCTTCACTATCTTTTATTTTCCAGATACGTAACAGTCCCTACCATCAAGCAAAGGTAGACACCTGACTACATCTGGTTAGACTCATGGAAGTAGACGGCTAGGATCTGGGTTTTTGCAAAACTATAAAATTAATCAATTCCTTGACAACATAACCCTCGATATTACTATAAATTAAACAAACATATACATAATTTATACTAAAACAGCTGGACGTTTCATCAAGAAAGACACATCAATACGTAAATAACAAAGAACGACACTAAAGAAAAATTACCTTTGATTGAAAGTGGATATCTTTCTCTAATTTTGTCCACGAAGCAAAAATGCTCCCATTTATATTTTTGTTGTTAAATCCGCAACAAACACCAGCAGAAAATAAGCTACAGGCTTTGAAAGGAACTCTTACAGGTTGAATACATGGGAGAGATGAAACCGCTATTTAAAGTTCAAGCGCAAATATACTACATTCTAATCATGTCTATATCAAGCTGATCCTGTGAATAAAAAATGATAAAACAACATTACTAATAGTTAAACAGCACCTTATCCTATAATGGATGAACAGATCTTTTTAACGAATTATCAGCAAAATGAATTCATCAACCTTATATCTTTTCAGTTACCGAAAAAGTAAAATCTGATACATATTATCAGCTTCGGTTAAAAAATATTAAACCACATACTCAACAGACTCGAGTAAAAATCTAAAAAACTAAATTAAATGCTAAAGGATTCGAGTAAACAACTGCAAACAGAGAGAATGTATGAGCTCCAGATTGAAAATGAGATTTGCATATACTATTGAAATTAAAACATGTGGTTACGAATTACCATTCGATCAGAACTTCCAGCTGATAAAATGGTATCGGTTACAGAAAATCGTGGTAGAATCAATTATCCGTTATATGATCTAAGAAAAAAATGCGTCACAACTAGCGTAAGAGAAACCAACTATCAAAGCTGCATAGGAAGAAAAGTAGAAAAGCATTAATTAAGCGTCAAATTCATAGTTGATTCGTTTAAAAGGGACCTAAACCTGGTGAAGCTGATTAACCTGGATACATAAAGATTCTCAATTTGAAAATAACAAAGTTGTATTTTCAGATATGAGAACTAAAAAAATGAGGGAAAATGGTATTACCTAAGAGTGAAAACCCCATAAAGAGATGAAGAAATCCAAGTACGCAGATTCAGCTATCAAACGAAACGGAAAAGAGAAATCCAAGAAATAGACAGAGCAGTCCGTTTGTGGCTCGCACGCCGTAGAGAGGATGAGTGGTAAGGGCTAGGTTTTAAAGTCCACAAGATTAATGAGAAACCCTAAACTATGCATTTATAGGCAAATATGTACAACAATTATAATAGCATTAAATATATTTATTTTTAAAATAGTGATTATATTTTAATAGGGCGTGCACAATGTTAATTTAATTTATAAAAATTTAACATTCTAAACCGCTTAACTTATAATTATAAATTAGTTAAAATTTTAAAGATAAATTATTTAAAATAAACTATTAATTACATATTTTTTAACAATAAAAAAATTATAATTTACCTTTAAAAATTGTTTGAAATTTTTTTTAAATAATGAAAAAATATAATTAATATTTCATTTTAAATAATTTACCTTTAAATTTTAACTAATTTATATTTATACGTTGAGTCTTTTAGAATTTTAATTTTTTATAAATTAAACCAATGATGCTCAGTGGTGATTATCGTTAGTGGTGTTCAATGGTACTCGTCGAACGTTGTAAAATTTTTCATTTTAATATCTCTTCATAAATTTTTTAGCCTATAATAACGCATACGACCTACAACTATATGCTTGAACTTTTTGTTGACATACGTAACTATTGAAACTCAAATATTTTTAAAATATAATATTTTTATTTCTAAAACCAATTCAACATTAAATAAATCTTTAATGTACAATTTAACCTTAAAATATACAAATTTCCCAATTTCTATTATAGCATTAAAGTATAATTATGTTATAAATTTTTGTTTAAAAAATTCTTGGTTATTTGTTTTCTCATTATCTAATTTTTCTGTTTATTTGTATATGATGTTATGTTGATTGTCGAATATATGTGTTGGATGAAACTGCGGTTATAGGGATATTGATTTTTCATTCGTTCGATATTTTTAGAGTTTTTTTCCTTTATGTTTGGTAATCGGTAAAGTCAAAGTTATTTTGTTTTTGTATATTGTTGCCTTAGTTGTTCACGCTCTTACTTATCATGATATTATTGGTTGATCACCTTTGCATTTTACTTATAATAGTCATGAATGTATTTATTCAACATGTATTTGACTAGATGTTGTTGATTATAATTTTTTTGACAAAAAATATATCATAATTCTACTTTCAAAAAATATCTATATCAATATAATGACAACAAATAAAATTTTAATAACACTTAAATACATATATTTTGACCTTCTAAATTTTAATCTATAATTAACCGTAATGAAAAAGTTAGATAAAGTACACCAAATATTGCTAATTTTTTTTCTGTTATCAGCTACATTACTAAATTTTCAAATGTTTTGATATGAACACCATTTTTATCACTATGATGAAATAAATATTATTTTAATAAAATAAAAGTTAAAGGGTGTAAAAGTTATATATTAGTTTTACATCCTCAACCTATACCACCCAAATTTGACTAACATAACCATTCCTGTTGGGATTGTTGAAGCTCAAATGTGACAATTGAAAATTGAGCCAAGAGGGGTGAATTGACAAATATTGTTTAGGGAGTAATGAGAATGAAAAGATAGACAATTTTGCTCAGCAATTTATAGTGAATCGACTTCTCAACTAAGGTTACCTCTACTACCTTAGCTCATCGCTAAGGATTTTCCAACAAATTCACTAATTTGTTTCCTTTTTCAAGGATCAAAAGTAACCTTTACAAACTCCATAGTTTTTCATTTGGCTAAACTAGAACCAATTCCCTTTACAAAAGGATAAAAAGAAGTAAACTATAAAACCTCTCTAAGGTAGGTGATTACAAAATTAAAGCTCACAAAAACACAATATATACAAGATAATAAAATAAAAAGTGAAAAGTTCTTATCTTGTTTTTGATTGTTTGGACAGGTGTTCTAACCCTTCTTCAAGTGTCCTCAACTTGTATTTATATGTTGGAATGACTTTGTGGTCGTTGGGAGTGATTTGGAGTCGTTGGGGATGTTTTTCTCTGCAAAATAAAACTGCCCAGTACAGAGGGTATTTATACTCCTATATGGAGTATCGGTACTACTTTTGTTATTTTTAAATAAAACTAGTTGTTCCTAGCCATTAGGCTTGACAGTTTCGATACTAAGCCTATGGTATCGATACTACTTTGTGAAGTAGTATCGGTTACCCTTTGGGTATCGGTACCATTTTTGCATTCTGTAATTTGAGCAATATTGGTAGTATCGATACTACCTAGTGAGTATCGATACTTCATTTACCTTTGGTATGGATATTGTTTATGAGGTATCGATACTAAAAGAACAGTATCGGTACTTCTTGTCTAGAAAAGCATTTTGTGCTCAATTCCAAGTCAAGTTGACTTTGAATTATTTTAGAAAAAACTTTGAAAACTTTGAATAAATTCAATTCAAGTCCAAAAACATTTTGTCTTAATTTGTTATATCAAAATATAGTTCAACAATCTCCCCCTTTTTTATATAACAAAATATTTGAAATTTTTTTGGCAAAACTCCCCTTAATAAAATATTTAATGAAAAATATATCAATTGTTGGAAAATATATGAAAATGTTCAGCTTTGCCTTTTTCATTAAGAAATTGGATTTTTCAAACCATACTTCTCCACCTTTTGTTATATAAAAATAATTCAAATTTAAAGTTCAAAAATAACATTGGAGAGTAAGTGGTAAATTTTATATTAAAAACATTTGAAAAATCAAAGCTCCCCCTCAAAAAGTGCATTTCAAACAAAAATTTGACTTTAAAGGTTTGACACTTAAGCAAAATTGAATTTCAACAAAGAATAACAAACATGTTAGTAGCACATGAAATTCAATATATCAAAGTCTAAAATATTTTATGCAATACCAAATGTTGAAATTAAGTGCATATGCATAAAGTCTTCCAAAATGTTATGCATTTGAAAATTTTGATATCAATTGTTAGAGAGATATCATTTGCATTTTTAAATTACATGCATAAACATTTAAACTTAGGTCAAAACTTAAAATTTTTTAAAATCAAAGCATTTTGAAAATTGATATCAATTGTTAGAGAGATATCATTTGCATTCAAGCCCAATTTTGACTAAAATTCATTACGATGAACTAAAAATTATGAAAAATCATAAATAATTTAAGTGTTCATCATAACACCTTTTAACATGCATGAGATAACATAAAATCATTTAAAATCAAAACTCATGCATAGTTAACTAAATGAGCAACCAAATAATCAAAAACAAAAGCATTAAGCTTAGAGGTACCCGTTCCTTTTCATGTGTGGCTAGAGCATTTAAATATCTTAATTTTCATCACCATTGCTCCTACACACCTACAAGAGACATTTAAGTAGATTTTGGTATCCAAATTGTTGTGGATCATTGAACATTAGTTTCAATGTCCCTTGTTCCCTTAGGAACTCATACTTGTCTAATTTTAAAAGATTTTCTTTTCTTTATGGGACAAACATGTTCCAAATGACCATGATAATGACAATGTGAGCATTTTGTCATTATGAAACTAGATGAATTATTTAAAATGATTTTATTTCTTTTGTTAAGCATTCAAGCTTAACTTTTAAATCAAAATTTTCTTTTCAAAACTTTCAGTTTTCATTTTTAAAATCTCTAAATCATTTTTCAAAATTTCATTTTGGTTTTCAAAATTCATTTTAGCTTTCAAAAGAAAAGCATTTTCAACTTTAAATTTAGAAATCAATTTCTTATATTTGGAGTTCATGGTCTCAAACTCTGAAAATAATTCATCATATGCATCTTGTAACTCATTAAACGAATAAGAATTTGATTCACTTAAGTTAGATGATACATTGGGCTCTTCGTGAGCCATTAGAGATACCACCTTTGTTGGTTCTTCTTTCTTGTCTCCATAGACTTCCTCGAGCTTATTCCAAAGATGCATTAGAACACGAAGAAACTTCTTCATAGATATCGAGACCAAATGCACAAAGCAACATGCACATGGGC